GCAAACCGCATCCTGGGGTCCATCAAACAGTATAACCAGCCGGTCAAAGAGGTGATTATCCTGCTGTATTCAGCATTGGTGCGACGACACCTTGAGTGCTGTGTGCAGTTCTGGGCCCCACAATTTAAGAAGGACGTTAAGGTACTTGAATGAGTCCAGAGGAGGGCAACAAAGCTGGTGAAAGGGTTGGAAGGAATGTCCTATGAGGAGCTTAGGACTTTGGGCTTGTCTAGTTTGGAGAAAATGAGGCTGAGAGGCGACCTCATTGCTCTCTACAGCTTCCTGAGGAGGGGAAGCAGAGACAGAGGTGCTGATAGGACGCGTGGGAATGGTTCAAAGTTGTGCCAGGGGCGGGTTTATATAGAGATCAGCAAGCACCAGGGGAGGTTTAGACTTGACATTGGGAAGCATTTCTTTACCAAGAGGGTGATCAAACACTGGAACAGGCTTCCTAGAGAGGTGGTCGATGCCCCAAGACTGTCAGTGTTTAAGAGGCATTTGGACAAATGCCCTCAGTAATATGCTTCAACTTTTGGTCAGCCCTGAAGTGGTCAGGCAGTTGGACTAGGTGATCTTTGTAGGTCATCCCTTCCAACTGAAATTGTGCTATTCTGTGTTACTCTCTTTCCTGTCCACCTCTAGATTCCCAAGGGAAGCCATGGGAGTGCTGTCAGAGTGATGGCCTGTGCTTCTGTTTTGGAGTGTCAAAGGGAGATGAATCCCACTCAAGATGACTTTTCTTCAGTTCTCTCTTAGCTGCCCATTGATGCAAAAGCCTCCATGAGCATCTGGTGATGTTGTTGGGGTGCTCCTGCACTCTGAATGATGAGTGATGTGAAGAGAGTGAAGTCGTGGTGTGCCTGTGTTTCTTCTGTCCATGTATGTGAGCAGATGTTCTTGCAGGTTGACAGCTTGTTGTCTTGCCTTCCACAGAGCCCAGTCCAGTTCTTGATCTCAGGGCAGAATATGTTGGTGTGACTTCTGTCAGCTTAACGTGGGCAGTGAATGACAACGCTTCCAACTCCTACACGTACAGGATAGAGGTTGTAAATGGTACCTCTGTTAGGAACCTGACGTCCAATGTCACCAAAACTGAAATTACCGAGTTAATCCCTGGGACGATGTACAATTTCACAGTATTTGCAGTAGCGGCTGATGGTCAGACGGAAGGAGAAGGGGTGTCCGTAAGGCTGTATACAAGTAAGTCACAGTTTCTTGCAGCCCTTTTTCTGGTGGACTGTATTTTGCTGCGCAGCTCAGGCCTGTGCCTACCTGCCTGAAGGCTGAAATAGAACATAAACCTTACGTGGGCTGTCTACTGAGAATGGGATGTTAATGTGTAGAAGAAACATAGCCCTGATTTTTTTATTCTTTACTTTTAAAAACACCAAACCCCCTCCAGCCCCTCCCGCCCCGAAACAAGAAATCCCCCGCAACCACAAAACCAAAAACCAAGCAACCAACAAACGGAAAAAAAACCCTTCCTTCCCCTCCGTCCTCATCTCTTTCCTGCCCACCTCTCTAGATTCCCAAGGAAAGCCCTGGGAGTGCTGGCAGAGTGATGGCCTGCGCTGCTTTGGAGTGTCAAAGGGAGATGAATCCCACTCAAGATGACTTTTCTTCAGTTCTCTTAGCTGCCCATTGATGCAAAAGCCTCCATGAGCATCTGGTGATGTTGTTGGGGTGCTCCTGCACTCTGAACGATGAGTGATGTGAAGAGAGTGAAGTCGTGGTGTGCCTGTGTTTCTTCTGTCCATGTATGTGAGCAGATGTTCTTGCAGGTTGACAGCTTGTTGTCTTGCCTTCCACAGAGCCCAGTCCAGTTCTTGATCTCAGGGCAGAATATGTTGGTGTGACTTCTGTCAGCTTAACGTGGGCAGTGAATGACAACGCTTCCAACTCCTACACGTACAGGATAGAGGTTGTAAATGGTACCTCTGTTAGGAACCTGACGTCCAATGTCACCAAAACTGAAATTACCGAGTTAATCCCTGGGACGATGTACAATTTCACAGTATTTGCAGTAGCGGCTGATGGTCAGACGGAAGGAGAAGGGGTGTCCGTAAGGCTGTATACAAGTAAGTCACAGTTGCTTGCAGCCCTTTTTCTGGTGGACTGTGTTTTGCAGTGCAGCTCAGAGCTCTGCCTACCTGCCTGAAGGTTGTAATTTATTACTGTTGCAGCAGAGGTGATGTTTTGGTCCTGGAGCTAGAGATGGCTGATATGCCAAGCACGGGATGTTAAAGTGCAGCAGCAGTATTGCCCTGATAGAAAGCTGTTGGTGAAGCTTGTCCTGAAGGCTCACAAAGCAGAGAAGAGATTTTTCCCTGAGAACCTCTATCTTCAACCCCCTTTCCAAAATTTAGGTTTCATTTCCTAGAGTATGGGGGCCTCAGATCCTTATTTTAAGGGGATCTCACAAAGAGCATATTGCAGCAAGGGAACTTTCGTGATTTGGGGGCCCACAGGTGCCATCAGGCTGCAGCAGGAGAGTGAGATTTAGGCAACACTAGTTCAGGAGAACTGCTTTGTCCATCCAGCACCTTGCCATGTTGACTATCAAAAGTCTTGACATGGGGTGTTGGAGGGTCCATTTTGGAGCTGGCCTGCAAGGCTGTAGCCCAGTCTGGTTTTATTCCACAGGGTGTATCTGAAAGGAAACAGATGCCTGTTGTCATTTGTGTTGTCCTGAAACATACCTGCATGTGTGCTCCTACCTTTCCAGTCGATTCCCAAAAGTGTCTCTTGTGCTGCCTGACCGTAATGGCTAGTTGCCCTGTTTTGAAGATGCAGAGAGAATAGGGTGCTGCACAGAGGATTTTTGGAGATGGTCTCTCTGCCATGGGAGTGACCTCGGGGCATGAGGGTTGGAGAAGGAGCAGGGTGCTTGGGTCATCACCTCTGCTCCTCTTCTAGTGATATTTGATGTTCTTTAACTCTTGCTGTGCAGTGATGCACCACTATCTTTCCCTTCTACTCTTTTCTCCTTCCTACCCACCTCTCCGGATTGCCAGCGTAAACCCTGGGAGTGCTGGCACCACGATGGCCTGTTCTCTTGCTTTTGAACGTGAAAGGAAGATGAATCGCACCTGAGATGCCTCTTTCTTATTTTTCTGTTACCCAGCCATTGATGCAACAGCCTCCATGAGCGTCTGGTGATGTTGTTGGGGTGCTCCTGCACTCTGAACGATGAGTGATGTGAAGAGAGTGAAGTCGTGGTGTGCCTGTGTTTCTTCTGTCCATGTATGTGAGCAGATGTTCTTGCAGGTTGACAGCTTGTTGTCTTGCCTTCCACAGAGCCCAGTCCAGTTCTTGATCTCAGGGCAGAATATGTTGGTGTGACTTCTGTCAGCTTAACGTGGGCAGTGAATGACAACGCTTCCAACTCCTACACGTACAGGATAGAGGTTGTAAATGGTACCTCTGTTAGGAACCTGACGTCCAGTGTCACCAAAACTGAAATTACGAAGTTAATCCCTGGGATGATGTACAATTTCACAGTATTTGCAGTAGCGGCTGATGGTCAGACGGAAGGAGAAGGAGTGTCCGTAAGACTGTATACAAGTAAGTCACAGTTGCTTGCACACCTGTTCCTGCTGGGCTGTATTTTGCTGTGTAGCACAGGCCTGTGCCTACCTGCCCGAGGGTTGAAATTTAATACTGTTGCAGGCAGAGGTGCTGTGCTTTGCTTGCAGTCAGAGATGTTTGTGTGGAAGGGACATAGCCTTCTCTTTAAAAACAAAGTAAAACAAAACGCCTCAAAAACAGTGGTTGTTGAAGGTGGTCACCAAGGCCTGTGACACAATGAAGGAATTCTTCCCAAGAACCTGCCTCCCTGGCCTGGGATTTGTATGGGCAGTTTTGCTGCCTTCACTTCTTGGAGGATGGGGGCCTCAGACCCTTATTTTAATGGGCTCCCACACCAAGAGCGTGTTGTGCCCAGGGAACTTTGGTGATTTGGGGCCTGTGGCTGCCATTGGGCTGCAGCAGGAGAGTGAGTTTTAGGCAGTGCTAGCTTAGGAGTGAGCTCAGGGCATGAAGGGTGGCGAAGGAGCAGGGTGCCTGGGTCATCACCTCTGTTCCTCTTCAGTGATATTTAATGTTCCTTACCTTTTGCTGTGCACAGATACGCCACCTTGTTCTTTGCCCACCTTCCCCTGCAACCTTGTATATTTTCTGACTACATCTCTGAATTCCCAAGCAAAATCCTGGGAGTGCTGGCACAGCACCTGTGCTTCTGTTCTGGAATGTCAAAGGGAGATGAATCCCACTCAAGATGACTTTTCTTCAGTTCTCTCTTAGCTGCCCATTGATGCAAAAGCCTCCATGAGCATCTGGTGATGTTGTTGGGGTGCTCCTGCACTCTGAACGATGAGTGATGTGAAGAGAGTGAAGTCGTGGTGTGCCTGTGTTTCTTCTGTCCATGTATGTGAGCAGATGTTCTTGCAGGTTGACAGCTTGTTGTCTTGCCTTCCACAGAGCCCAGTCCAGTTCTTGATCTCAGGGCAGAATATGTTGGTGTGACTTCTGTCAGCTTAACGTGGGCAGTGAATGACAACGCTTCCAACTCCTACACGTACAGGATAGAGGTTGTAAATGGTACCTCTGTTAGGAACCTGACGTCCAATGTCACCAAAACTGAAATTACCGAGTTAATCCCTGGGACGATGTACAATTTCACAGTATTTGCAGTAGCGGCTGATGGTCAGACGGAAGGAGAAGGGGTGTCCGTAAGGCTGTATACAAGTAAGTCACAGTTGCTTGCAGCCCTTTTTCTGGTGGACTGTATTTTGCTGCGCAGCTCAGGCCTGTGCCTACCTGCCCAAGGGTTGAAATACAATATTGTTTCAGGCAGAAGTGCTGCACATGTCTTACCTGCAGTCAGCAATGTTAATGTGTGGAAGGGGGTTCTGTGGGAGGTTTCGTTGCCTTCTCCTCCTTGTGGATGAAGCTCTCAGGTCCTTTGTCTTGAAGGGCTCCCACACAGTGCATTGTGCCTGGGGAAGTTCCCTTGTTACAGGGGCCTGTGGCTCCAGCTGGGCTATGGGCAGCACTGGGCTGTGTGGCTCTCAGCCATGCTGCTCTGCTCAGCTCATCAGCAGAGAGGAGAATGTTGAGGTGCTGCTGTGTTCCTCATAGTAGATTGTGTCCATTTTTCCCCCTTGTTGTGAATATGTGTCCTTTCCTTCGTTTTGTCCCATTTTAACTGAGGTGAAATGAATCTGTCCCAGTGCTCCTCAATGGGGTTTCCAGAGGTGTCCCAGGATGAACTCATTAAAAGAGTCTCTGGTACTGTGAAAGTGCTGCTTGGCTACTCATAATGCTTACTCAGTCTGTCCGAAACGTGGAAGCGTGGCTGTGCCTCTGCTTTTCTGTCTGTGTTTGTCAGCGAATATTCGTGAGCGTTGATGGAGTCTCATTTCGACTTTCACGGAGCCCAGCTCCGTTTTCCATATCCGTGCGCAGTATGCTGGTCTCTGGTTTTTCCCATGGAGCACAGATGATATTGCTTCTAACTACACCTACAGGATAGAGATCCAAAGTCATGGTTCCTCCTCTAGAAACCAGACATCCAGTGTCATCAGAGCTGTTATTACAGATGTAAACTCTGGAACCTTCTATAATTTCACCCTATTTGTAGGAGTAGCTGACAGTCTTACTGAAGGAAAAGAAATACTTATAAAATGCAATAGAAATAAGTCCCACACATTTATCTTCTAACTAAAGCTGTTTCTTCTGGTACACAATTCTGCTTCTCCTTAGTTTCTTAAAATAATACCCCTTTTTAACAACAAAATAATTTAATCCATGTGCCTTTGGGTAAAAGGCTGTATTTGGAAGTACCAAATACTTCTTTATCAAGAGAGGAAATAAATTTGCTGTGAGTTACAACTGTAGAAGTTATAAGAGTTTTGGTCTTGAAGACCAAGTTTTATAAGATGTTTAGTTTAGAGGGACCTTTCTTCTCTGTGTTAGTGCTACATTAACTTTTTAAATATCTTTGTGTATCTGGTCATAAGGTTGCAATTTTTATATTGTGTCCTATAGGACTCTCACATAACTACATGTTGTAGTTGCTGCTCTTAAGGATGGCTACTGCTGTGCTCTTAATGCACGGAGCTTATATTCATTTTCTTATTTGTTGGCCACTAAGAGTTTTACATAATTATACAGGGAGTTAGTGTCAACCTACATACTACTTTAAAAATGTTCTTAGAGTAGTATGTTCAATGGTCGAACAGTATTTTGAAAATTTTGCTGATCGTGACAGATATTCAACCTAAATTTTCTCAGTAAACCTGTCTGCAGAGGAGTTAGAGAGCACAGAAGAGGTCTGTGTACTTCATGTACTTCATGTGCTAAATCTTCTCTTCCTCGTAGGGTAGCAAGTCCTTGTAGGCAGTAGCTTCATCTTCTTAAAAGTGGAAAGGAATACTGAAGTTTTACAAGTGTTTATACACAGAACTTACAAATGGCTTTTTCTGTTTACTACAATACTTGATTTGTTACTCCTCTTTTTTTATTATTCTTTTTTTCTGCAGTTCCTGCGTCAGTGAATTCATTTCGGTGTGAACCAGTGGCCAAGCAGGCTTACCTAATGCTTAAGTGGGAATGTCCTTCTGGTAACAATTCTGGCTTCAAAATTAAAATAATTAATGATACATGGGAAAAAGAAGAACGGACTCCATCCTGCCTGAGAGAAGGCTCAGAGGAAGCCTTCAGAACAGCATCTTTAGATTATTTCAGCACCTATAATGTTACTATTGCAACTCTTTCAAATAGTTCTGAAAGCCTTCCAGTGCGGAAAGTGTGTAATACGAGCATTACTGGTAAGCATTAAGATTTGAGAGTGAAAGATATATTCATAGGACCAAAATGTTAACTTCATGATTGCAGAATACCAAACTTGATATGCGGTACATTATCAGCCTACAGATTATGAATAAAACACTACATTCATGCAAAGTCTAATGTGATGCACAATAAATATGCATTATATGAACAGCATCAGTATTACAGCATTTTCTTGTTTGGAAAACTTTACTTTATCAGCCATTAAGGTACTAAAAAATATTTCTGTTTGTAGACCCGCCTGCTCCAAGCAAAGCTCCTTTAGTCAAGGCAGTCAGTCACAGCTCGTTGTCTGTTGAATTCTCTGATTTTGAGGCAGTGAATGGACCATTAAAAGCCTATGCAGTAATGATCACAACAGAAGAACAAGGTAAGATGTTATGATATTCTCTTGTAGCTGTGTGAAACAATTTATCAGACAGCATTATGTTTTGAACTCTAAATAGGTGTTAAATGGATAGAGGAAAAGCTGACTCAGTATTTTCAATCACCTTTCAAAAATCATAAGGCAAATACCTTGCTTGCTTGAAGTTGGATCATTCCTTGCTGTCAGAACGCCACTGTTTTCACTCAGCCTTTTCCAGTCTGACTTTTCTTGTATGTAAGTCTCATATGTATTGCCATTGTGCTGTTGCCATCTTGATTTGCCAGTGATTTCTGCCACCAAGATTGTGTAGTAACCTTTTTTTTTCCCCCCACAGAATAATTTTCAGAGCTATTAATATAAGCAGCTTTGGAATGTGGGATGTTTTTCCCCCTTCCTTCCTCAGCTGGAAGATATCTGCAGTAAGATCTTTTTTAAAAAAAAAAAAAAGAGCGCTTTCCTTCTGATTTTACTTAAAACACTTTATTAACTGAGAGATGGGGTGCAGGTGGAAGGCTTGAATAGCATTGTCAGCATTACATGCCATGGGAGGTTGAATGCCAGGGAAAACTAGAGGGTAGTCTATCAAGCTCACCTCTTTAAAGCATCAAAACAGAGCAACATCTTTAATTGGTGAAGGTCTAGTGATAAATCATAAAATTAAGGAACTTACCTTTGCTGTGTAGGTTCTAGTTGAACTTGTTTTCAAGTTATTGTTATTCCTGCAGTGCCAGTGCACTGCAGGAATAAAGCAGCTGATGGAGATAGTTTCCCCAAGTGGGATTTGACATTCATGCTTATCCTTTGTCTTAACACTGGAAATTCATCTTGCTGTAGATCTTTTTTCTGTGGTATTCCATACAATAGATGTCTAAGAAATGCCCGGAGAGATATATATATAAAAAATGTAGTACATCAGTGCAGAAAATTCCTATTTTTCACATACATATTCAGCTGCCCCAGAGCTGCTGATTTGAATGTTAATCTCTTGCACGCAGCAATAGCTCTGCTTGTACCTTCAGCCAGTCCTGTTTAGTCTTGCTGAGATTCAGTGTCATCTTCTGTGTGGTTTTGATTGCAAGGTATTCAAGAAAGAGGACTTTCAAGATGTGATTGAGAGAAACAAGGAAGAAAGATCACCTGTATTTATAATACAGAGTCTGAGTGTTTTGATAGGAGCAGAAAACCATCCTTTTGGCCAAGCATCGCTTCAGCTTTATAGTGTTGAAATAGCGTTAATATGTTTGAGATGTGTTTCTCTGTCTTAAAACGGACATCATTACCTTTAGGATAGACAGAGGGGACTTCATTCAGTTGTGTAAGCAATGATGTCTAAGGCTGTTTGAGATGTCCTAGGGCGATATCCAAGACATCCACAAGGAGCTGCAGTGATAACCCAGGCTGTACATCCTTTTGGAATGGAAACTAGGGACCAAACAGGACATATATCTCAAGTAGTATTGAACACCCATTTCTAGGCAACTGAGTTAATTGCAACCTCAGCTGCTTTTAATGTAGCCACACTAGTGCTTTAGAAGAGCTGTTCTGCACCCTGTTCCTGCACAGTTATGGTTGATGAGAGCTTTGCTGCTGCTGGCAGTGAGCCACCAGCTCACTGGTGGCAGATCAAACCTTGTCTATTCAACTGTAGAAAACTTAATAGAGCTTTTCCCCTTTCAGAGCTCCTGCAAGGCTTCTCCTTTTTAAAGGTGTATTCAATACTATATCTGCTTTTAGGAGGAGCTTTTAGCTTTGTGAAGGCAGTCAGTAGAGAGCAACGTGTGCAAACTTCAGTCAAATGAGCAAGATTCTTCTTCCTCCCATAACGCTTTGAATATTTACATCAGTTAACTTGCTTTTGAGTTGTTGGATAACTGGTAATTTGAGCTGGTTTATTATCTCTTGCGTCACATGTGCCTCGACTGTATAATCTGCCTCAAGTTTCTAGGGTTCATCTTCTAACAACAGACGCTGTAAAGTGATGCTGTTCTGCAGGTGGTGTCCTGTTGGTCACTGTTTGATTGCTGTAGCACATTCTTCTAGTCTTCTGGAAAAGCAACTGTTCTGATCGCTGTTTTGTCCAATGTTTGTCTATGTCAAGAAAAGGCAGAAATTAACTCCTTTGTCTCTTAGGCTTTAGTTGTGAGACTTCTTGTAAGACACAGCAAGGAAGTATAGGTCAGGACGAGTTTAGTGTCACCCTGAATGAGGCTTGATGCTGTTTGGGTAGCACAATGTTACCAAATACCAATTGACTTTTTCTACGCTGTTTGCATTGTACTCTCTACATATGATAGTTGATAGAGCGTGTACGGGTATGAGTGACTTGTCTAGTGAAATTTGTCCACAAGGACACCAGAATCCACCACTAATGTACCTTTACAAAGAAGTTCCACTATACATGGTAGAAGTAAAACCAAAAGGAGATTAAAACAAATAACATTGGGGAGTAGGGAGGTCAGTAGATTGCACTGCAGTAGAAGAGATAGTTCTGAGATTGTCTGTTGCACTCAGCCTTTCATTTCAGGCAGTATTTATGGAGTAATGACAACTGTGGTTAATGTGACACACTGTATTACCATCTCAGTCACAGTGCTGATGGATACAAAATCAGCAGATGATGTATACCACTTATGTCCTTGTTTTTTCCTGAAGGTTGTGGGTCTTTGAAGTCTGAATTGAACAACACATACAAAGATTTTAAGAAGAAGACGACAGTCACCTATGTAACATATGTTATAGATACAGAGCAGGCAAAATCACCTTCTTTCCATTCTCAGAATGATACAAACATCATTAATGTAGGCAAGGGAAACACAATGTATGGCTACGAAAACGGACCATTGATTCCACTTCGTACATACAGGTATTTATCTCAAACCACTGTTTGGTTAATTTTGCTGCAGTTGACATCTAAAAGATTATCTAATGAAAAGATTACAGATCTTGCTTAAGGCTGTTAAAACCATGTAATGCACCTGTGATTTTTTTCTTCTTCTCCCTTAACAGGGCAAGTGTTGCAGGCTTCACTAATATAACGTTTACTACAGCCAACATCATTGTGGGGGAGGATAGTTATGTATCGTTTTCACCCTGTTCTGAGGCGGTTTTGCTACCCCAGGATCCAGGTATAGTTAATGTCAAATATAGGATTGGTGGTTTGGCACATACACACTGTGTGTAGATTCCTTAATTATGGCAAGTTTCATAATAGCAAAACACCTGTTGGTTTCCCTGTGATGAACTGTTCCTTTCTAGCTTTGCAGTGACACTGCTCTGTAAATTCATACCTTACTAGCGGGTGACCTCTTTTTTCCATGTATGACTTCCACTATGGCAGTAACCAAAAGCTGTGCTACTTATGGCATGTTAAAAGGAATCGGATGGCACAGTGAGTCTTTGGTACAGAAACAAGCAGCAAAAACCAGCTGATGTTATAACAGTTCTGGTAAATTAGAACTGGGTGTATTGGAGTGCAAATACTGGTCCTTTGATCCCGATTTTTTACTAATTTATCATCCTTGCTTTATTATTCTTAATGAGCTTTCAATACTGGTACTGCCAAAGGATACAGTAAAGACAAGACGTTTAGTAGAGTGGAGTGTGTTTTGTCACCTGCGAGGTTCTCTTGTAGCATGTTGATTGAATTAGATCATTACCAAAGAGGTAAATCAATAATGAGTAATACTTGTTCTCTTTTATCAGGTGTTATTGCTGGAGCTGTTATTGGATGCCTTTTAGCTATATTGGCTGTAGTCGCTATAGGGGGTTTCATATTCTGGAGAAGGAGAAGGTAATGTGTGCTCATTATTGTATTTGTTGTGATGAGGAACACCAGTATTTCACTTGTGTATCTTTCTCCTAAAAAGGCCTCTCTTTTTCTGTTTTACACATTTCTGTCATGATGCTTTAAAATACATTCTATTAAAAATCTTGTTTGTATGTTACAGATTAGAATTTATGTATCAATCTAGTTAAATGACTTTGTTCGACCCCTTGGTTACAAACTAACGAGTTAAGATTTGTTTTGTTTAGCTCTTCTGAATTCATGCATGCTGATGAAGTAATTCAGTCAGAAGTGAGCTACCATCACAAATTATTGTGCTAAAAGACACATGTAATTGTATCGTAAGATGGTTTTATTTGAAAATATCCATTAATTGCACTTTTTAATTGCTTGATGGCCTCACATGACACTTCCATTCTGGAGTTTCAAGAAGTTGATGAGTTGCCTAGGGTTTGAGCTGGTCTCTCAGTTTCCAATCTTTTCCCAATAATCTGGGACTTAAGAGTCCACAGAGGCTTTTTCCAGCTTCTTATCATGTGGTACATCCTTTCTAAAGAGTTAGCTGTAGGGCCCTTAGTCCAGTTTTCTTAGTTTCTTTGATTAACTGCTGTTATTCTTACAAGCATGTCCATTAGCTGCGGACAATAATGAGAAGAGCTTCCTTTAAAGCTAGGAACACTTATTTTCATTCAACTACCACTTTCAGTACCACTGACACATCACTGTTGAACACTTACTGTAGGGATTCTGGGATTAGTAGCAATTCTCTGGAGATGTTAGGTAGCAACACAGATCCCTTGGGTGTACTTCTTCCACCAAACTATGTGCTTTTTGTTCAGGCGTTATGCTCTGGTTCCAACAGAAACAGTCCCATTGCACAACATCACTGAATGAAGGGTGAAGTATTTTATTCTTAGTGCAGGTGTAAGGTTTGCCTCAGGAGGGTTTTCTTGCGCAGAATGAGATGCTTTAAAAGAAATCGTTCTGAACAGGCACAGGAAATAGCTGTCGTCAGAAATCTTGTATGCGTTCCATTAAATTCTACTGTGAACCTATTGTGTTGTTTTCTTTCGCCTTGTAGGAAAGATAAAAGAAATACTGAAGTGTCCTTTTCTCCAATTAAGTAAGTCCATATCCTTTCACACATTGTTTTCTGAGCTCAAGTGGTATTTGCAAAACTTACTCTGAACCCTGATACTTGTTTTCTGAGCAGTTTTGTATAGAATTTTGCAGTATTAATTCTTCATGGAATTTAAAGACTCCAGCCTGCAGACTGCAAATAATCATAATGAGTGAGAGGTCTAGAGCTGCTACAGGGATCTGAGTGCTCGCTTCATGAATTGCTATTAAATACACAAATGCTCCACATAATTTTGAAAAACAGGATGTTTGGATGAAACGCAGGTTTCCATGCACGTTGAGGAAACAATCCAAATTGTTGATAAAGTGCACATAGGCAAAATTCTGCACTGTGGCCTGAATTTTCCTTTGCTTTATGACCACTTTGTGCTGAGCCATTAATTCGGATAATGTTGAGATTGTAAAAGCTGGCCACGGGAGGGTAACCGCAATATATTGGAAGTCACAGGCAGTGCAGTTGAATCACGTTATTGGTTCTTGCACCAATTTTTGTGCTGATGGAAAGGCGAGGTCGGAGCATCCCATGGAGTCCCACCTGTGTAGACTTTGATAGTTGACATAAAATACACCAGGGAATGGGGCCAATCTGATGGGAGGACAGAAGCGGCTGACTGACACCTTCTGTGATACTCTTCTCCTGAAGGATGTGCTATTCTCTCCTTGGTTTAACAGATCAGTTAAATGCTATGCTTGATATCCTGTCCCCTGTAAATGCAGAGTTTTGTGGCTGCTACTAACAGTCATGCTTTCATTCTTAGATTCACATAGTGAAAAATTCAGCTGCATGTGTCTAATCAACCTTTTTTTCTCCCCCCCCAACCCTCCCCTGAAGAGTCAAGAAGTAAGTAAAGCACACTTTCTAACACATTAACTGAATTCATGGTTTATTTACCTAATACCAGTACCAATACATGGCTTTTCTCATCGTAGATCAAAAATGATTAAAGTGGAGAACTTTGAGTCCTACTTTAAGAAGCAGCAAGCTGACTCCAACTGTGGTTTTGCTGAAGAGTATGAGGTATGTGCCCTCAGTGGAGAGAGCTTCATGACAAACATTTTTGGAAAGGCAAATTAGCTTTCCTATGGAGCGTGCGAGAGGCTTACTGAAGGGGAAGAGAAGGGACCTTTATTATAGAGGTTATTAAGCCACATGTATAGCCTTCCTTTCCCTGACTCAGCTCCAAATTTAGTTGAAGTGCGTGATAAATACTTCACATCCTGAACCATCATCTCTACCTGTGAGCTTACAGCATGGCCTGCTGCTCAGAGCTCTCACCAGAGCCAGGATCTCCAGAGTCCTTGCCCTAGTTGCGCTACAGAGTTAGCCTAGGGAAAGCTATTTAACTTCTCTGCGTTTTGGTTTTTTTCATCTTGTTTTTGTTTTTCTACACAGCAAGACAGGTCTCTTGCTCATATCACTGACTCCTTGAATGTGTAGGTGTGATTTGCAAACCACACCTGTGAATAGCTCGAAGGAGCAGTCAGAGAAGCAGCAATTATGATTTCCTTAGTGACCTTAACTGGTTTTCTGTGAAATGTGCTAAAGCTCAATTGTTATAGGGTACAAAAGACAGGAATCAAATGTCAGTAAGGATTCTGTGTTGTCATGCCTGCTGTTAAAGAATCTCATTTTTTTTCATCTTCTTGAATCTATTAATTGACATTCTTTTTTCCAGATCAGATTCTGTCCCTTTTATTGTACTTTGCAGGCTGGTGCTCTGCCTTGCCTTCCTCTCAGATTTTGCTTCCTTCAGTCCTTTCATGATGTACTTGCTCCCTTTCTCCCTGTAATATCTGCAAAGCTTATGCTAAGTAGTTCACTGACTTGGGGTCAGAACGAGTGTGCAGTTGATGTCAGTATTGTGTATTTCCGCAAAACTCTTTCTGGGCTTCTAAAGCCCATCTCTGGGTTTTAAACACGTTACTATTCCTACACTCTGTATTAATCCCTTCTCTAGCCGCTTGTCATGGTTTAACCTGGCAGGCACCCAAAT